CAATAAACCACTGGTGGAAGGAGATGCATATTAATACCTAGGAATGCTTGAGGTAGACAGTGTAGACTTGGGATAAAAAAAAAAAATAGATAGGGAAAAAAAAACACAATTACAGGGGCGGTGTTAAACTTAAAGTAATAGATAGAGCAAATATAATCATCGAAATATTTGATATTGTTCAACAAAACGTTATAGAGTGGTTAACAGATTAATTTGTTATCTAGAAAATATAGCATTTAGTTCACGAGTACGAAACTACGAAATTAACTACAACCGTGTTACTAAATTAACAGTAATAGTAATAGAAAAAATTGTTTATATATTATAATGACTTCATGTTAATGTCAATAAGAAATCCAAGGTATGTAAACTCAACCGCAAAAGAAAATTGCGTTGTGTATGATATATTCAGAACTCAGTTTTTAGATACAACCAGACTCATATATTTGCATCGAATACAAAAAAAAAAAAAAACGAAAACGAAAGATATGTAAGTAAATAATCATAGAAGACACATATCGAGAGAGAGAAAAGACAAGAGGAAAAATGACAATTTGAACAGCTGGGAGTGAAGGGGGCATTAAATATAGATAAAAGGAACGCAGAGAAGGCAGAAAATCACAGAATTTCGTTTCGTTATTTTTTGTAGGATTGTATTTTATTCCTATTATTGTTTATACGGATATTTCTTTATTCGCGTTGTAAGAATTTGTGCAGTGAGTTGGGTATATCACTTATGTTTACAATAATAACTTTTCTCTGTACTATCATATACTTTTGATTCATTATCTTCATCATGTGCTTCTATCTTTCGCTCTCTCTACCCCCCTCTCTCTCTCTCTCTCACCGTCTCCTCTCCTCTCACTCTCTCATCCTCTCCTCTCCTCACTCTGATATTTATCAAGATTCTTTACTTTTTTTCTTAATCTTGGCTGCGCGATTATGGAAATTGACCATAACGTTGATGATTTATCGATAAAGAATCACACATATATCCATTGGCTGTCTGAGCCGCACATGAAAGGGAGCTTTGGTATAAAGGCAGCATAATCTTGACTTAATTATGGAATTTGTCATACGACACTGTTGTGATTAATCAACGGAAAACCTTCAACGGCTAATGAAGCCATTTACTCTTATCTCTTGCTCTCTTTCTGTCTCTCTCTCTCACCGTCTCCTCTCCTCTCACTCTCTCATCCTCTCCTCTCCTCACTCTGATATTTATCAAGATTCTTTACTTTTTTTCTTAATCTTGGCTGCGCGATTATGGAAATTGACCATAACGTTGATGATTTATCGATAAAGAATCACACATATATCCATTGGCTGTCTGAGCCGCACATGAAAGGGAGCTTTGGTATAAAGGCAGCATAATCTTGACTTAATTATGGAATTTGTCATACGACACTGTTGTGATTAATCAACGGAAAACCTTCAACGGCTAATGAAGCCATTTACTCTTATCTCTTGCTCTCTTTCTCTCTCTCTCTCTCTCACCGTCTCCTCTCCTCTCACTCTCTCATCCTCTCCTCTCCTCACTCTGATATTTATCAAGATTCTTTACTTTTTTTCTTAATCTTGGCTGCGCGATTATGGAAATTGACCATAACGTTGATGATTTATCGATAAAGAATCACACATATATCCATTGGCTGTCTGAGCCGCACATGAAAGGGAGCTTTGGTATAAAGGCAGCATAATCTTGACTTAATTATGGAATTTGTCATACGACACTGTTGTGATTAATCAACGGAAAACCTTCAACGGCTAATGAAGCCATTTACTCTTATCTCTTGCTCTCTTTCTCTCTCTCTCTCTCACCGTCTCCTCTCCTCTCACTCTCTCATCCTCTCCTCTCCTCACTCTGATATTTATCAAGATTCTTTACTTTTTTTCTTAATCTTGGCTGCGCGATTATGGAAATTGACCATAACGTTGATGATTTATCGATAAAGAATCACACATATATCCATTGGCTGTCTGAGCCGCACATGAAAGGGAGCTTTGGTATAAAGGCAGCATAATCTTGACTTAATTATGGAATTTGTCATACGACACTGTTGTGATTAATCAACGGAAAACCTTCAACGGCTAATGAAGCCATTTACTCTTATCTCTTGCTCTCTTTCTCTCTCTCTCTCTCACCGTCTCCTCTCCTCTCACTCTCTCATCCTCTCCTCTCCTCACTCTGATATTTATCAAGATTCTTTACTTTTTTTCTTAATCTTGGCTGCGCGATTATGGAAATTGACCATAACGTTGATGATTTATCGATAAAGAATCACACATATATCCATTGGCTGTCTGAGCCGCACATGAAAGGGAGCTTTGGTATAAAGGCAGCATAATCTTGACTTAATTATGGAATTTGTCATACGACACTGTTGTGATTAATCAACGGAAAACCTTCAACGGCTAATGAAGCCATTTACTCTTATCTCTTGCTCTCTTTCTCTCTCTCTCTCTCACCGTCTCCTCTCCTCTCACTCTCTCATCCTCTCCTCTCCTCACTCTGATATTTATCAAGATTCTTTACTTTTTTTCTTAATCTTGGCTGCGCGATTATGGAAATTGACCATAACGTTGATGATTTATCGATAAAGAATCACACATATATCCATTGGCTGTCTGAGCCGCACATGAAAGGGAGCTTTGGTATAAAGGCAGCATAATCTTGACTTAATTATGGAATTTGTCATACGACACTGTTGTGATTAATCAACGGAAAACCTTCAACGGCTAATGAAGCCATTTACTCTTATCTCTTGCTCTCTTTCTCTCTCTCTCTCTCTCTATCTCTGTCTCTGTGTCTTTATTTCTGTCTGTCTGTCTGTTTATCATTCTCACTGTCATTATCTGTCTCTCTGCTGAGTCACTTACCAATTCTGAGTTCTGCCGATCTCGTCTGCTTACTTTTTACCTTGATTGTCGGAAAGCTTTTAATTTGCTCTTTAATACTATAATTTTTTTTAATACAAATATAATAAACATGGTAATAATATAACAGTATCGACATTCATAGGAGTAATAAGTAAATAAATATTTTCCTAAGATATTCAAGGAAAGGGGAAATATGGCCCACGAATTGAC